TACAATATGATAGTTTGCAGTTAACTGTTTTTTGGGGACAGTGGGGGCTGTCTCAGATTACAGTTAAAAATCCAGTTGACTGAAACATATGCCACGATATAATAGACAGTAAATTAAATGGTAAACTACTTCCATTTTTTTACTAGAAATGATATGATATATATGTGATTGACTCTAATGATAGGATTAATAAAAAAAAGTTTAAACATAAGTATATGAAGGAAGAAATAAGTTATATTATTGATGAAACTGTCTTGAAAGAAGACCAGATTTAACACATTCTATAATGGGTTTAGATATAAATGTTATTCTAGATAGGAAGAATTTTTTATATATAGTATAGAAAATATATTGAATTGACATAATTTGAGAATTATTTGAAGTGTACAAATTCCAAGGTTATTTAAAACCAACAACTTGTAAGTGGACGTAACAAGATTTTTGCTTTAAACCATGGTTCCTCTTAAGGAAACAGAAAATGTAAAATAATCTGAATCCTGAGCCACACATATTAGATCGTCTGCTTGATTCCTTCTCTTATAAATGAGCTTTTCATAACTAGTTTTCTGGGCACAAGGTCTTGCACTGCAAGAAAAGATCTCCTTATAATACTTTCCTGTTTAATATTATTCTTTGAGCTTTTAGCATAGAAAATCTCAAACATCTTTTTGTATTTTCCAGTATGCCTCTGTTTGGCTTATTGGCTCCAAATGGAATAAATGTATCTATGTTCCAAACCTCCTCTTAGAATTTAATTACTTCCCTCCCCTCAGTTCCCAAGTATAGCATGTGATCCCACTTTATATGTGACAATGTCTAATCTCAGCCTCTTTTCTAATACCCGGGATTAATTTTGCAAAAATTACAAGGGGTCTCATACATTGTCTCCTCCTAGTTCTAATTCCCTTGCCTCTAGTGGCTTTTTGCCATTGGGCCAGACACTTTCCATCTTTGCATTATAAACAAAACTTGCTTTTCTAACTAATTATATTCCTTCTCGTAATAAGTGAATGATATCACATGCTGCATCTTGTGATTGGAGCTGTGTTGGAATTCTGCTCAATAGAGGCAAAAGCATTTGTTTAACCTGGTTATGATGTGGCTTGGGCTTTATCCACATCGCTTGTTCATAACTCAGTGTGGGCACAACAACGTTACTAATGATTGTTAAACTCTTTAGCCTGATTCAGATCTTGCTTACTCTGGTGTAATTCCATTTAAGGTAGAGGCATTACTTACATTAGTGTAAATCTGGAGTGATATTGGAATTGGGATCCCTATTATTTTGGCTGTGTAGATTCACCACATCTGAGTAACATGATACAGCTTTCCAGAAATATATATATATAGGGGCGGCTCTATGTATTTTGCCGCCCCAAGCACATCAGTCAGGCGGCTTTTGGCGGCATGCCTGCGGGAGGTCCACCTGTCCCGCGCCTTCGGCGTACCCGCCGCCAAATTACTGCCGAAACAGCGGGACCGGCAGACCTCCCACAGGCACGCCGCCGAAGGCAGCCTGACTGCCGCCCTCGTGGCGACCGGCAGGCCACCCCCCCACGGCTTGCCGCCCCAGGCACGCGCTTGGTGTGCTGGTGCCTGGAGCCGCCCCTGTGTGTATATGTGTGTGTGTGTATATATATATATATACAAAATATATATATATATATAATATAGTAGTGGTGGTGGGTGGGCGGGCGTGGGGGGGGATTTTAATTGGGTCACAGTGTTCATGAAAGAATTATTCATGGGCCACATTCTCTTAACTGGGGTACATCAGCATATCTTCAGTGGCTTCAGTGGAGCTCAGCTGATTTGCCCCAGCTGGTGATTTATGGATTTTAAAGCTTGAAGGGACCATTACGATCATCTGGTCTGACCTCCTGCCTAACGCAGGCCATAGAATTCTGCCCAGTGATTGCTCCATTAAGCTGATAACTAATCCGGCCTCCTCATCCCACATGTGAAAACAGGCTCTTCCAAATCTATTCTGATGCATTTTGTTCTTTTGAAAATCAGCGTCAAGGTACATCTCAGACTGCCAGCGCCTCGGAGTACAACGCCACAGCACTTATGGAACTCCTGCGGGAGAAGGAGGAGAGAATTCTTGCCCTGGAAGCCGACATGACTAAATGGGAACAGAAGTACCTAGAGGAGAGCGTGATGAGACAGTTTGCTTTGGATGCGGCAGCTACGGTGGCTGCTCAGAGGTAAATGAAACTATTCATAGCAGGGTATTTTTCCAGTAGAATGTCATATTTCCTACCGATGAATGTTACCCTTAGTCTCGCTTTTCCATGACTCCTCTCCATGCCCTCCACACATCATCAGCTAAAACTCCTGGAATAGAGGTGGAGCTTGGCTGCTTTTGCTGGGATTCCTGCGTAGTTGCCAGCATTTAGAAACTTTGAAGGGACTGTTCCATCAAATGAAAGAACTGTGTTTTCATACACGTATTCATCTGAATGGCTCCTGGAAGCTGCTGACTCAAAAATAGATGGTAGAGCAGAAAAAGATTTACAAGAATCTGTCCTTGCTGCTGTCACGTGAGATGGGGGAAGCTTGGTGATTCACATCGTTCAGCCTGAATGCCACACTTGTTCACCAGACTGTTTTTGCAAATTACTTTGTGGTATTGTCCATAATATGGCTGCTAACCAGAGACACATACACAGAAATTCCGCTTAAAGCATTCGGCTGCGTAGAGATGGCATCGTTTGTGGGGGCAGGGAGGGAATGGTGTCTGAAATTTGGTATCCAACTTAGATTCCAAGACAACTATCCAGAAATAAATAGTAAATAGGTTGTAAATAGGCTTCAGTTAGCTGGTGAGCAAGTGCTGCTAATGGGGTGCAATTGGGTAGTGCTTACATGTGATTTTATTGCTAACTGGTGCCTGGCTCCTGACAGAAGAGTTTTTTTTGGCCATTTTGTAAGCCAGATTCAAGTGCAGATGTTGCAACTTTGCTACTTTTGCCTAAGTTCGTAACTTATTACAGGATCATAGTAAAAATCAGCAAGGAGAGTTGCAGCATCTGCAGTGTTAGCATTTAAAGGGTTATCTTCTCTCACTCCAGAAGCAGCCTGTTACCTCAAGGTATTAATGCTTCTTGTGCACTGTTTCCCAGCTTCCCTGAGATTCTCTAAATGACTTCTTTAAAGTGTGTCCAGGGGACATGTTATATTTTCAGCCCACGCTGATAAATAGGAGTGAGGTCTGTTGGTTGTCACATATGGGGAGAGGACACATTAAGCCAGTTGACATTGTATTTAAATAAACAAGCAAGGAAGGTTTCCAGAGTCAGGAAAGCTCCCATCTCCAGACTTTAGTTTCCTATTTCCTTCCAACTGCTGGTCCTTAAAGAGACAGATCTATTACTGCACTAGCATCTGACGGACAAAAAGTTAATTCCAAGTTAAGATTGGCCACCATTCCTCCCAAATGTTCCTCATTTCAAGGTGACACCATTTTTAAGTTTCCTGTCTGAATAGTCTCTTTGTGTTCCTTATTTTGGGGTTTTGCCATTCACTGCATCCCCGTTCGTGCCTTGGCAGAGTGAGAGGTAGGCTGGCCACTTCACTCTTAACCCTGCCAGACGTGGGAAGTAAAATTGGCACATTATAATGATTTGGTAGCTCTCATTCTGTCTCAGGCTGCTGCAGTCTTAACATTATTTGAATGTGCATTTATATTGTATGGGGCCTTCTAATTGTTAGGACCCACATGGTGGTATAATGGTATAGCATGACGACTGGTATTGAAGTGAACAAGGGATGTAATATTACTGTAATAGTTTTATTAGCCTGCATCTCATTGTTTAAAATATGGGATGCTACAAAGTATCAACATAAACTCTCTTCTCATCCTACTCTAACATTTGGGCTGAGACTCTCAAAACCACCTAAGGGGTTTGGATGCCTAGTTCCTATTTGGTGTCCGTATCCCCTAGCTGATTTTGAAAATCTCAGCCTGAGTGTTTGGTGTGTGGTGTTTTTAACCTAAATGGCAGGCTGGTCTTCCTAGGACGTGTTTAAAAAAAAAAATCTATCTGAAATGTAAGTGTATAGCAGCATTAAATACTTGGTGTGGGTTTAGTAGACTATGCAAAGATTGCAATGGGGCAGTGGTTCTCAACCTGCAGCCCAATCAGCAGAGAGCTGTGGCCCATGCGACATCCTCAGGGCCATACAGGTAGTATTGGATGTGGCCCACATAACACACTAATGGTAAGTAGGTTGAGAACTACTGCAATGGGGGAACCCTAAGTGTGTTGCATAGAAGTTAAAGTGAAAGAGGGCTGTTTATGCTCCATATCCAACCAGTACCCAATACATTTGAGCACTAGCCTGTAGGAGAGAGGACTATATATCTAAAATCATCAGACATAAATTCACTATATTCTAGCTTAAAAGAGAACATATGTGTCTAGCCTGTCATCCTGGAGTGCCATTTCCTCTACATCCTTGTCCTTGACTACACACAAACTTGCCCAGGTTTAACTAAATCAGTTTAAGAACACACCTTTAGTTGAGCAGGATTGTGTGTAGAGTAGGCCCTTGTTTTTAGTGACTTAAGACATCTCTATTGTTTCTTTAGTGCTGGGAGATGGATTTTCCTGGTTTGAGGTCCATAGCCAGAAATGGAGACCTTGAACAAGCCTTTACTCAAAGAAGTGGATATCTTTGTTAAATAGTTTTGAGAGATCATTGTGTGCTGTTGGGATGAGGACAGTGGATTCGTATGGTCCTTTATCTGCTATACTGCTCATTCTCAGGGACACAACTGTGATCAGCCACTCGCCTAATGCTAGCTACGACACCTCCTTGGAAGCTCGCATTCAGAAGGAAGAAGAGGAGATCCTGATGGCCAATAGGCGGTGTCTTGACATGGAGGGCAGGTAAAATGCAGTTCGTTCTCAGACAGCTTCTTTCGTATTGTAATTTTAAGTTGATGGCTGGGGCAGGCTATTGCGAATCATCCCGTTGGGGTATGGTAGCCTCACTTATAGCAATGAAATATGAGAGATACCGGGTTGTGCTCACTTGGTTGAACAAAACAATTGCATTTTCTTTCACTATTGATATGGTTTGGATTCATAAGTAAAGTGCCCCTCAGACTTTTGATTCTATTTATTTTTTTAATGTTCTGTCCCTATTTGTCTGATCTTCTTGTTCCTCTTCACCACCTTCATACAGACGCGTGCCTCTAACACCAAGCTCAGATACATTTGGATCATGTCTTAACAGTGCGGTTCCATGGGGGTGTTTGTCTTGGTGTTTGGCACAGTGCAGGTTCGCTGAAGAGCATTAATCCCTCCTCTTCCTTATCCCTTTGCTGTCTGACCACAGCTCTTGGATCTCAAATGGCCTCTGCAGTTGTTGTGTCCAGTAGCCTGAGGTGGGCAGCTCAGTGAAGATCTGTCAAGTGTAGAAAGTCTTGTCCATGATCTGGCCCTATGGCACGGTGAGCCAGTGAGCACCCATTATTCAAGTCAGTTAGCTCGGTTGCATTCTCTTTAACAAAGAGCTGCACTAATTCCCCGAATGCCTAAAAAGCAAGGGATATTTACAAGAGCACAGTGGACTTTGAAGCATCAGTCTGAAGATAGTGTTCTTTTTGTTATCCTCTCAGGATAAAGACTCTCCATGCTCAGATCATTGAAAAGGATGCCATGATTAAAGTCCTCCAGCAGCGCTCCCGGAAAGAGACCAGTAAGACAGATCAGCTATCTTCAATGAGACCAGCTAAGTCCCTGATGTCAATTTCTAACACTGGGTCAGGCTTGCTGTCCCACTCTTCAACACTGAGCAGCACTCCCATATTGGAAGAGAAGAGGGAGGACAAAAGCTGGAAGGGCAGTTTAGGTAACATTGTAATCCTAACAAAAGCACTGCTAGCTATGTTAAGGGAGTGCGGTCTAAAACCACTCGGGGGGAGTGCGAGCAATGGAAGGACGATGTACTGACCGAGGGCGCTAGGTGCGCTACAAACAGATACAAAGATATGGTCACTGGCCTGAAGGACTCACAGCCTTTATTTGGAGAAAATGTGTTGTAATTAGTCCAAGTTATTAGTTATTTTTTCTGTAGATGGCTTGGGGCCCAAAACTACTCCCATTGCTGTAAATGGGAATTTTTTGCAATTAACTTCAGGGTGAGCAGGACTACACAGAAGTGGGCCGTGGAGGGGAAGCAGCGTTGTCTAGTGGTTGGAGATAGGGCGTGGGAGATGAAACATATTCCAGCATTACCTTTGTAGTGCTGAGTGACCTTGGTTTTCCCAACCTCTGTGCCTTACTTTCCCCATCTGTAAAATGGGGATAATGCAGTCCTTTGTAAAGCACTTTGAGATTGGCAGTTGAAAGGAGGGGGGGAAGTGCAGAACTGTGAACTGGGCAGAACTAGTGCTGCGATGCTCCTTATACGTAAGTGCTTTAAAATCTGCCTCCCTTTCTGTCCACAAAGGTGTTCTGCTGGGTCCAGAATATCGCTCGGAATCCATTCCTTCAACTCCCTCGCCGGTCCTTCCCTCCACCCCGCTGCTGTCTGCACACTCGAAAACAGGCAGCCGAGATTGCAGCACGCAGACAGACAGGGGAAGTGAACAAAATAAAGCTGCTTCCTCTGCGGTGGCCCTTGTACCAGGACGACTCCCCACTACCAGTGTGCCCTACAATTCAGACAAAACAGGTAACTAGACCCAACTGGTCTCCAGTGGGGGCATTGGTATGAGGTCAGTGTACATTGGTATGAGGGTGCTAGTCATGCAGAGCCTTTTGGGGTTGCCAATTCTATGGGTTTAGTTGTTGGTAGGGTGATATGAGTTAGATGGTTATCACAGTAAAGGCTGGGTCTCAGAGGGCCCTTTGGTGAAACGTTAATGCTAAAGGGACAGATTCTGATCTCCATTACGTTAGTGTAAAGACAGAGTGACTATACTGGTTTTAACGCAGTCACTGCAGATTTATACATCATTGCATAACTATGAAAGAGAGAAAGTAAAGAAAGAGAGAGAAAATCTGAATTTTTAAATTTAAAAAGCTGCTGTCAGTCTTTTGGCCACCATCACAAACTGCCTTTATGAATAAGCAGGAAACTTCCTTGTTCCAGTCATATCCCCACTGTAACTGTAGTTGGCAACTGGAGTTATAGCTTGATTCTTTCTGTTTTGTTTCCTCCTCTTGATATAGATGGGCCAGTTTTCCACTCCAGCACTTTGGAAAGAAAACCGCCTGGTCACAGTTTGGGGCAGGACCTCACTGATGCAGAAATGGTGGAATACCTCATCTGAAAGGCCGAACTTGTATCAAAGCTGGGACATAATAGCAAGAATTTTTTTAAAAAAGACATTTTTATTGGAAAAAATATAGTACCTGAGTAATAAAGGAACACTCAGCTCTTTGCTCTTGTATATTAGGTCTCAAAAATGTGGACAGGTTAATTTATAATTTGTTCTAAATTATAAAATACTTGTTCTTTGAAAGTCGTTTCCTCCTCTCTCTTCCTCCCCAAGCTTGTTTTTAATACTGGATCTGGTAATGTCTGGATAAAACCAAGGTCTTAAATGCACTAAATTCTATTTTTAATTTCAGTATTTTTAAAACCTTGTATTTAAAAAAAAAATAGTACTTACTTTCACAGCAGTTGGTTAATTTCATTTGAACGCTGCCAAGATGGGCATGATGACTCTGCAAATTTATTGAGCACCAGGTCACACAATGACCACGTAACATCACAACTAGATTGCGGTGCTTTGTTCTGAATGTCACTGAAGGCTCCAGAGTACAGGTATTCTGAGTAGCTTTGTAAAATTTATAAGAGATGATCAAGGGAGCTTTTTTTCTCTATTGCCCTCAGTAGTACGAAGTCAGCATGGATATTCCATATTCCAGGGCCAGAATGATTTCAATTTTCACAATGTGCTCATGCACTTTTTTGGTTTTTTTTGTACTCTATTGCAGTCACATTGTTTTTAATAGCTCCAGAGATTGTTATGTTTGTCATTTTCAGCAGTGTCAGAGGGTCCCCAGTACTTTTATACATATATAATTTTGAGTAATTTATACAGTAGATAAAAAATAATATATTACATTCAGGTTTTAAGTTAATAAATATGAAGAAACTGTGGGCCTAATCCTGATCTCAATAACATCTGTTTTTCACTATTGAAACTCCACTGTCTTCAGTGAAATTACTCTGAATTTCCACCGGTGTAGGTGTTGAGCCCTGTAGTATTTGAATATTAGCAACTTGATCTGCTGCATTAGACCTTGATAGAGAATTATTTTTGGTATATTTCCCTCTATTTCAAATCTCTTTCTAGTTTGTATGTCCCTCATTCCATGAAATAACGGATTCTCTTTTCATATAGCAAAGTGTCCGCGTTAGTACCTTACACAAGGTAAAGGGTACAGTTGGTTATTGTCAAAAGTTTCAAGTGGCAAATTCTGTGTGCTTCCAAAATATTTCTCTCTTGTAACTGGAGAGAGCAGCATTTCTGTGTTTTAAAGTATTTAAGGGAGTAAGTTTCACATCTGTTCATCATCAGTTTCACTTTCAGGTTTTTAGGAACTAGCCCAAATGCTGCAGTGCTTGGGTTGCAAACCCTGCAGGGGGATGTTCAGACACATTTTAAAAAAGGCTTGTTTTGAGGTTTTTTTTTTAAATTTTATGAAAATACTTGTATTAATATTAGTTTGTTTTAAAACACTTGGTTTACTTAAATTTTATGTCTTTACCCGACAGTGCTGCTAAAGCATCTCAGCTGATCCCAAAATTCCACTACAGTATTGTAGTAGCCAAATCTTGCTATGGACTGACGTAGCTTCATGTTAAAGCACCAAGCCTTATCCTGCAATGGGCTCAGTACCCTTAACTCCCACTAAGTAGAAAGCACTTGGCGCCTTAGTGCATTAGGCCCTAAATTGCAGTGGGCGTACGAAGGCTTCAGCGCAATCACCTATTGGTACTATGTCTTCTAGCCTCTGGCTAATTGACTTTTAAAAGGATCAAAGTAATTGGCCCTAACAGATCAGTGGAAGCAGCCTGGATTTCACAGGGGAGAAGAAAACCCAGAAAGGTGTCCCCCATTAGTAGGCCTCAGATACCTTTCTTGATTTTCCACTGTCCCAAAGTTAACACTGTAATGCCGGAATATCCGCTCAGAATGAGATTATATTTTACTTGAAGCAATCATTCAGCGAAATGGATCACGCTTTGCTCTTGAAAGGCAGTTCCTCTTGGTCCTGGTGGGTTTGCCACTTGCTAATTTTAATCACTGAGAAGTCTTAGAACCATAAAAGTTAGAGACGGCAAAGTATGTTGGTAAGAGATGGCCCCAGTGCAAATACCCTGACTTTGCCACTGACCTCTTTCTCCAACAGCCTGAATCCACCCACGAAACTGGACACCCACAATGTCTGGGATAATTCAGAGCTGTACTTTGAGTTGGCCCATCTCTACCACATAGGTCCTCATCTTTCCTTGGCCTGTGCAGAATTGTTCCTTAAAGTTCATTCTGTTATATTTTGTCCAGGCAAGTGTTCTACCCCTTTCCATGGGGATACCCATCACAGCCTCATAGCTCTCACTGTTGAAAATAGCTAATGTTCTCTTTTGCTTAATTTCATCCCATGACATCAAGTAATGCCTACCCTGGATGATTCTAAATGATGCCTCTCCTCCTTTGTAGTCATTGGAAGCATTGTGTGACCGTATCCCTCTTCCTGCCATAGGATTGTTCCCTATGGGCTGGGTTTAATACAGTGAACAGCTAGGGAGATTGAGAACATAGCTGTGAGAGAGATTCAGTGTGAGAAGTGCAAGTCTTTTCGTTAGTCTGGAAAAACTATACGTTCTTGAGTGCTACTTAGAAGCAGGTAAGAAATGTTACATCCTGTGCCCATTAGTCCATTCTAACTCAATTGACCTGCATTGGTACTAAAATTTATGGATCAATTATGCACATATGTCTGATTGGGTAAACTCCAATTTGCGTAGGTCCGTGTGTGTGGATGATTAGGATGGACCAGTCAACTCTGGTTGTTTGTCCTCCCCCAACTCATTCCTTATAACAAAATTCCATTGTAATTAGTCTAATGAAGAAAAGAAATAGGGGGTTAAGCTTTCTGAGTGAAACACAGATGTTGCACAGCAGTGGTCTCCTCCTGAAAATGCAGGCTAGAAGTCTCCAGTAATGCAAAACTTCAGTATTACATGGTGGCTTTGACAGTTCTGTGCAAATGTGAATGAGTTTGGAAGGAAACATTTCTCACAATTTCATATTGCTTTAGTTAATTTCCCTGTTTTCTAGCATTGATGTCATGAGTTAAATTTTTATTACAGTCAGCCATTTAAAAAAGGAAGCAAGCAAACAGCGGTGTATTATTCTTGTGTGAGCTGGGGATCTGAGGTCTTCTTGCTGAGCTGACAAACTAGGAGCCATCAGGAATATATTCTTTCCCCTAAGGCTTCCCTAAGTGATCCTGATGTGAATCTAAACACGCTGCTTTCTTTGGGGGAGACGTGTAATATAGTTTTCAGTCTTTCTCTGTACAGATTTTTCAGTTTTGTTTTTAAACGGAAGCTACTTAAAGAAGTCAAACTGCACACCTGGTCCTTTTCTTTCTGTAGACTACTTTCTGCTGAAGTAAGATTGTAATTCAAAGTAATTGCAATGATCTTAAATCTCAAACCAAACTTTAGACTAAGAGTTTGTCTTAAACTCGGGTATTAGAAGCAGAGTTGCAGCTTTTATAAGGAAAACCTCATATTCCTCTTTGTAGAGCAGAACAAGCATACATTTTTCATCTCTTTCTCTTCCCCTTAAATGCTCATGAAGTGTCCAATCCCACAAATGCTTTCCATGGGGAACTACCTTGAGATTTGATGGCCCAGGGGACTGAGTAATAGGAGTCAGAGACTTTCATCACTACATGATTGGTTCAAATCTGGCCCCATGTCACTAGTGACTTTAAATGGCTCCCATCTAACAGCTGTTTGTTGATTAAATGAATTAGTGGGTTTTCCTAAGAGCTATCCATGCGGCTGTTTGCACAATTCACCCAAAAGTTACCAAGAACTCTGCATGCTCCAGGAGCCCATTGCTCAAATTATGTGTTGCAATAGTCTCTCTAGACATTTGTCCAGTGAATCCTATTACTAGCAGCCACCAAAGAGACTGTTGTTTATCTGGTCATTACAATGGTGGCAGTGTACCACTGCGCATTTAGTATGGACAGACTTTTTTTGGCCTTTGGTTTTTAACACCCATTAGGACTAGTGAGCGCCAGCACAAGATTTACTCTAATTCTCCACACTATGTCGAATGTGCCTGGGGGTTCTCTTTTCATATATTCATATAGGAACTTTTAAAAAAGCTAGCAATTTTATCTCTAGGAAGTAAAAGACAGTAAATATAATTGTACTACTGTATTTATGACGAAAATACTTATTTTCCTCCCCCCAAAAAGATCTTACTCTAGGGTGGTTTTAGTTTTTGATTTCTAGTCATGTTTCTTAGGCTTTCAGGAAAGCATTGAAACCCGTCTTGTTTGCACTATTGTGTAAATGTAAAACAAGTGCTGAGCTAAGGAGTTTAGATTAAAATAACTGGCCCTTCCCTCTCCTAATTCAAGCAGAGCCTTTGGGGTTTTTGTTTTAGTTCTCAAATGTTTAAATAAGTTTTCAGCCACCTCTGCTTTCTGGCTGGGACCAGAAGCAGAAGTGTTGAAATCAATCTTGGGTGACTTGTCCCTTGGGGTTCCATGCAACATCCACAGGTCAACTTGATACTGATCAGAACCTTTAGAGGTTTGCCTCTCCATAGAGTCAATGGTAAAACTCCCATTGACTTCAGTGGTTCCGAGAGAGATTCTCCAGGATTCTAGTTCTCTAGTTCTCCATTTATAGAATAGTAATTGTTAGATGGGTTACCATTTTATACTCTCTTGGTTTTCCTTTCCCTGGAGTTGTGACCTACAGGGAAGAGCCAGAAGAAACTGACCAATGTGCTGCTTATCTTTAGGGTCCAAAATATCAAACCATGAATGGAAATACGATAAGTTTGCTATTTAACAACCTTAGAAAATGTATCAAGAGAATGGTCTTTTTTTCTATATAAATCTATATTAAAATAAATTGTGTGGATTATTTTTTTCCTTTTTGTTTAAACTGTCAAGCTGATTTCATAATTGGGGAATGAGCTGTTTTGTAACTCAGTTGTTGAAATAGCCCTAAAATCTTTGAAGAATGTGGCAGCTTTAATTCTTTTTTAAAAAGTGTAAATATGCACTAAATCTTTTGTAAATGTCTGTATTATCATGTCTGTAGTTACCCATAAAAATATCTTCAATGTGTTTTAAAATATGGATCCTGTGTTTTGAAATTTATTTTTATCATAGGTTTGCTTTTTTTTGTTTTTAATTACCACAAACATTTTCTTTCTGTCAAAAAAGTGTATTAACACTCAATCCAATTCACTTTGGGACCTGATTCTAATCTTACTTACACAGGTGTAGATCGGAAATCGCTTCACTGAAGTAAATGGAGTTTGCACCACTGTGAAAGCAGTGTGAGAGGAGAATCCAGTTCTCTGGCTTGAAACATGGGGAAACTAATGTGTTTTCAATTATGGGGAAAAATGTGTCCCTTTTTTAGTTGAAAAATTTTTTGGTCAAAAAAGCAAAATGTGAATTTTTCCAACCAATTATATAGCAGGTCAGAAAAACAGGATCAAATTTTTCTGAAAAATGTTTCGCAAAAAAATCATCCCCTTTCTTTTCCCTCCTCTGCCCCCTCACCCCCACCCCCCAGTTGAAAAAATTAAATGTGGAACATTTTGACTGGCACTAACAATTTAGGGGTCTTCAATTTTTGGTTGCCCAATTTGAGAAGGGCTCACTGTTTGAAAATCTGGCTATTTTTGGGTGCCTGAAATTGGGTACCCAAAATTACAAGTTACTTTTGAAAAGCTTGCCCTTTGTCTTTAAGCTGCTGATGTAAAGTTTGTTCGTTTACTTCTGGTATGAGTTGAATACTTCCACTGCTTTATTTCCCCCCCCTTATCTTGCACTGGAAGGGAAAAAATGCTGATCATCTGGAGGTGAGTAGGTCTCAGCAGGCTTGTCGGAGTTGATGTATTTTCATTGTTAATCTTTAGAAGAGGAACTTGATATTTCTCATCTTCATGAGCTGCCAATAGTTTCTTAAATAATACTGGGTCAGCAAATCTGGGAGCCAGAGGTTAAATTAAAACAATTGGTCACAGCACTATAGAAATTTTAATGAAGGGTGGGTGTGTCTCTGTCTGTCTCCCTTGCTTGTGAGCTCATTTGTCTTGTTTAGCTGTGCAATCCATGGACAACGGCAATGGCTTTCTGCACAGTTGGCTTTTCTGCAGTGCAACTGTAGCACATTTGAAAGTGGCCTTTTAAACACCATTTAAACATGGTGCAAAACCCAGTTCATAACACAGTTTGGCCACTCATTGTGGATGTAGCGAAAGTTCATTAAAGTTCAGGAACCTTATCCAGGACCCACTGACGACAGTGTAGAAAGACTCCTATTGACTACAGTGAGTGTTGGATTAGGGCTGTTGCAGAGATAAGTCTGGTTCTCTCTTGTCCTTGCACTGGTTTGTACCCACTTAGCAAGTGTGTTTGACGGACCTGTTTTTGCATATCCATATGTGGCAAGCCTTACAATACAGCTGTCCCAATGTGTTCTGGCCTTTCAGGATGCACAGTTCCCAGTATTATTGCTTAGAAAAGCGCTTTTGGAGCAAGTGTTTGGTGTGAGTTTTCTCTCTCCTTGCTCTTTGAGTCTTGATGTGCCAAATGTTTGGGTTTCAATTAAAAACAAATTCTAATTTAATTGGTTACTCAGTTTTTAAATGGCTGGATCTTTAAATGGAAAAATAGATCTGTCATTGCAGAATGAAACTGGAAAAATGTAGGGTTCTGTTGTTTCCTTGGCATGGATGTAACTCCCATTACCAGGAAAAGGGGCTCTAATTGAATACAGTATAGCAATGGAAGGCTAGCATAAAGCACCCGGACAATTCATTGGCTAATGTACACGTGACAATATTCTTAAAGGGATGTTATTGCTTTCCACTGAGCTTTTCATATCTGGCCTAGGTTTAATTGGACTTCACGCATAATTATATTAAACTATTATATTACCTGTTTTATTATATTTTAACAGACGCTTTAAAGCAATTGCTAAAATACGCAGAATCCCAGTGTAGTTTGAATCACTTACATAGGCACATGAATGCCTCCCCTCCCCTATGTAATGTAGAATCTGAGCATCTTTCATGTAAAAATAAATCCTGTAACACTGGAATTGACTTCCTAGAAATGTATAAAACCGGATGGCAGCAAGAGGCCCCGTTTGCTCTTCAGGGGTTAAAGGCCTCTTAAAAGGGACATTTTTGTGTGTAGGAGGGAGGGAGTAATGATGTAATCTTCTGTAGTTTGGGGAAAAACTGATGAGATAAATGTCGAGAGTGAGGAATAGTGTTTCTGTCAATTTATAATAATTTGTGCCCCCCCCCTTTTTTTAAAAAAAAAAAGCTACATTTATTTATTTGTGTATTTATTTTAGTAAAAAGCTGAGGAGTTTACCAGTGATAGGTCTATGAGATCCTAATGGTAGAAGGAACATTTCTTAGGCAAAGTAACTGCTTTCTTTCCCCAGTGACTTTTATGGTGAGTTGTTTCCTAACAGAAGAATTATTTTT